AGAAGATTTCAACCTGGGCTATAAAAGGACAGGTTATCATTTTTGTGTTGTATGGTATCTGTGCAGATAATTTGTACATCTATATGATCTGTTCACAATCATGCTATGTCTTCAGTAGGGATGCATCAGGAGAGAAATGAATGAATGAATGAATGAATGAATAATAGAACAGAACAGAACAACGGATGGTAGATCTGCCTCCTCAACTGTGGGTGTGAATTGATCTTCTGGCAGGGTCTGGCAGCTTGCAGAATTTTCAGACTGTCCATCCTATCTACTAATTGACTAAGGAGTCTACTTATCTCTACAGATGACTTGGTGCTCTCTGAGCATATGGTTTGCTTCCATATTTTTATTAGCCAACATCATCAGTGCAAGTGAGGTGGGGGTTGCTGCATGCGCGGGCCCTCCCAGTAATGCTATTCAGTGTTTTTTTGGGGGGGTGGGGGTAGCCTATACCTAGTTATATTTAATTGCTATGTACCAGGTTATCTATGAACTACATCAAGTTCCATATAGTGGTTAAGGCACGAGTCTACAAACTGCTGGGAGACCATGAGTTATAGTTCTGCAGTAGGTATGAAAACCAGCTGCCTGACCTTGAGCCAGTCATTTTCTCTCAGCCCTAAGAGGCAGGCAAGGGCCAATTACTTTTGAAACCTTGCCAAGAAAACTTCAGAGTCTTGTTTAGGCAGTTGTCTAGACTAAGCATCAAAAACAAAAGTGTTATCAGTAAATAACTTATTTGGCTACAGTGACTGCTTTCCTTAATAATCTAAAACAGGAACAAGCATTTATGCCACAAATACTTATGAAGACCCATTCACATCAATGAATCACAAAGTGCACAATTTGGTTTTAGGGTTTTAGTTGGCTATGGTTTATCTTCAATGAGCTAATTGGAACTGTTATTTTTAAACACACAAAAGAAGATAGATCTGTTAGCAGTACAAAATATAGGAGCCAAACAATTAATCCTCCTTTGGATTTCCACACTGGAAAAGGAAAAACGAAGGGAAAACACTGCGCACCATTCAGAGAAATATACAAAAATCTATCAAACTTGATTTGCAGCTTCAGAGTAAAAGAAAATATTTTCATGTATGTTACATTACAGACCAAAAAATCTTTGCTGCCAAGACTAAATAAAAAATGATAAGTAGTAAATGGTAGGACTATAGATATGAGTATTCATTATACTGGCTATGAACTTTGGCCTCAACATCAGGTATCTCGATAGTCTCCAGGGGTGAAATGCAATGGGCAGAATGCTCCTTGAAAGTAATTCTTATGATGTAGCCAACATTAGCTGGCAACAGAGATCTATAGTAAGTCATATGGAGTATTGCAGCCTATTCCAAATTGGTCCCCCTCCCCCTTATATATAGGATTTCATTTTCAATATTATCAGCCAGTATGGCCTCTGCATCTGAAAAGCTTTTGTTAAGGTTGGCCTTAAAAATAACCTACACTGATATGAGCCAGATAATCAACAGAGTAAATGTTTATATCAATAACAGCACGTTATACCTTAGCATTCTACCAGATGATAACATGTCCAGGTAAGGTGGCAGTTAGTGTGAGTTTGAATAAAGTGATATTCAATTTAATGCAAATTGTAAATTGATACCAGGTTACATTTAATATGAGCCAAAATTCTATCTCTATGCTCTTGAATCTTTGACTTGGCTAAGTTTGTTCACGTTTGGAAATGTTTCAATCCCCTGTCAAGTGCCAAGACATCTAGAAAAGCAAATGAAATGTTTGGTTCTTGATCTTTTTCCAAACACTCTACCAGTTCCCCACCCAAATATATTGGAACAGGCCTTATTCTCAAGAGAATTTGCTGGATGCACAGAGCCATGCACTCAACTATCATGGACTCCGATGTCAAAATATTTATCCTGGTGGAAGGAAACTTCTAAAGCCATGAATTGCTTTGAAGGGGTGGATTTTTCCCCCTTTCTTTCACCTCCATTGCACTGGACTTTGAACCCAGTTTTCACATCTAGGTTGGGATGGCAGACTATATCCTGCAGTTGGAGCTTATAATACACCAATCCCCTCCACATTATGTAAATGAACAAGGAAATCTCTGCTGATTGAAAAAAGAACATTAAAGTCTAGGTCAGTATATGTTTCTGTGATGGGAGAGAAACAGGTATGTGTGTGTGTGTCTTGTCATAATCACCATCAGTGTGACCTGACCTCAGAATTTGCTTCTCCTTCTAGTTGTTATGGGCTCTTATGTACACTAGAGCAGGGGTGTGAAACTCGCAACGCCACGTGACGTTCGCAACATATCGCAACTTTTTTTCCATTGCCAGCAATGAGGTGGGCGCGGTTTCAGCATGACACATACGGCCCATGGGCCAGCAGTTTGACACCCCTGCACTAGAGTTTCTCAGTGTAAGTCACCTATGAGGCTCAACTAGAGTATATATTAGAATATAAAAGCATGTTAATGAGGCTTGTTGAATGCCAATGCCTATACTAACTCAGGATTTTGTTTCTCCCAGTGGCCAGTCTGATGCTTATGGAATGTGATAGAGTGGACTAAGATGATGCAGCCTTTAGAATATTAGATAAAACCCTAAAAGATTTGAATTATCTGGTGAACTTTACAGTAAATGCATTTAATCAATAAGAGTAAGATAAACTCAGTTTTTCCATGTCTATGAGAACAGGTTACAGAAGATAGATTTCTGCATGGCAAGAAGTTGAATGAAGCTATAAAACCTACAGAGGAATGGGTATCAGAAGTGCAGGAGTAATCAGAGATGGTTGAAATAACAGAGGATCTGCCTTTCTTTCTCCCTCTCCATCAAAAACAGCTGGCAGCAAGAATTAATTAAAATAAGAAACATAATAACTATTGAATTCATTCATTCATTTTATGACTTTGACTCAGTCTTGAATTCTGGTGACATAACTTGCTTTTTACGATTCTGCTATTTTAAGTGAAAATGTGCATTGTTGCATAACATTGCATGGGGTGTGGAGTGAGGGGTGAGGAGGCATTGTATTTATTGACATCATGACACATAATAGCTGTATCAGATAGAAGTTATGGCAGTAAGCTGATACTATTGCAGCTTATATATTTCCCTAGTGTATTGATATGTCAGGCTTCAAAAGTAAGTTCCCGATCTATGGCTTTTGGGAGAGAATTCTTCATGGATCATTTGCCATAAAGTAACATTTACTTCATATTAATACTCAGATTTACCTGAAAGGGATACTAGGGTTAGGAAGCATTATTCCTGAACCTCTAGTAAAAAGTTATCATCTACAAGAAGCTGGGGAAAATCATACAAGAAAAACAAATAAAGGGCTTTAAACGCCTGGTCATCCTAAGAAATAAGTAATAAGTTTAGCTAGGAATGTTATAAAATTGTTATTTTGACTGTGTGTTTGATTCTGCACAAGCTTAGTGTGGAACATTTTTGCCACTTGAAATTGCTTTACTGAAGAGTTGTTTCTTAACAGAAGTAAGCCAGTGTTATTTTATGATCTGCCAAAGACTTCTATACTCTGTACATAAAGTATATATTCTTTTTTTCTTATAAAAGATTCTTTGAAAATGTCCCATTTGAATAGTTATATATTTTTATATCCTTTACCATGAGCCTGGAAGTGGCATTATAAAATTTAATTCATTTTTCTCCTCTCTCTCTCCTTCTCTCTCTCTCCCTTCGTCCCCCTCACTTATTCATTTGGGAGATGGCCATCCCCCCAAAGATTTGGGGCAGTTTACAATACACATAAAGAAAGAAAAAACCCTAAAACTTGCACATCTAGAAGAGAATGATAAATGGAGAGTTTCAAATTAAGTGACTTAATAAATGGGGAGTTTTGAATCTTTTCACAGAAAATTGATGGCACTACCAAACTGGTTTAAAGCTTGCAGTGCTGAAAATATAATTCTATTGAAATCTATGATGCACATGGAAAAAGTACATGATGGAGAAGACACAATCTCATGTATATCCTATTAAAAACGAGACAGATTTTTTTCATCTATGCATCCATAGACTTGTAGTACTTAGAAAAACCTGAAACTATAATTTCAATTTGAAAATCAAATTGTACATAAATCTATGATGAAAGTTTGCATGGTATTAGAACAAATCGACTTGAAGGTGTGTGCATTTTCTCCATCCTCTCTTCATCTTTTTCTACTGACTTTTCAGCAATACTCTTTGCTTTTGGCAGCACATTCAACACAATTCTCAACACACATATATAGGAATCAAAAACAAATTAGTTTGGGAGGAAATATGAGCAGTTGAGTCTTGGGCATATCATCTGAGATTACACCATGCCACATATTTGGAAGACAGGCAATCAGATGGCATCAAAAACAGTCCTGGATAATATTATTTGCCATGTCCACGTAAGTGTTTATAGTTCAGTGGGCTTCAATATAAGACCATGGAAAAAATATCAAAAGACAAAAATCCAGCAAAACTCTTCTGGAAACTCAACAGGTTTCTGGCATTTCCCTCGTCAATCAGCAGCATTACTTCTGAAGCATACATTTTATTAGAAGCACAAGATTTAAGAAACTCAGAAACGTGTCAACAAAACCAGAAATGGAGACCTCACTTTTAAAATATGCCTTTAATTAACCAAAGCAAAAGAAGCTGATTCAAAAGTCCAAGTCATATATCCTTCATTTTTTTTAATACATAGGAGAAAATATTTTTCTTTTTCTTTTTAGTGCAAATAAATAAGTGAGCACAGTAAAGTCCAAAAGGCTGTCGAATAGGCATGTCCAACCTTAATAACTTTTTAAGATTTCTGGAGTTCAACTCCCAGGATTCCCCAGTCAGCAGAATTCTGAGAGTTAAAGACCACAAGTCTTAAAGTTTCCAGTTTGGACATCCCTGCTGTAGAAAGTAAGGCAAAGTGATAGATTATAATAATATGTGTGGTCACAGTATATTTCTTCATATTTAACAACAGTTATCTTATTTCATTCCAAAGCTTTCCTTTTTTTAACTTCTCTTCCCGACATGCCTCAGAGCTTTCTTGACCCGTTCCATCACCTTTTCTTCCTGGGGCTGTTGCGTTGTGAGTTGTTTGATGTCCCTGAATTCTTCTGAGGAGCTTTGTTCATCACCACATTCAGTTTTCAGGCACTTGCAGCGGTCCACGTGGATATAACGGTGTTTCTTTCTGATCCCACCAGGACACAGCAGCATGATTTCTTTCCGGGATGTCTCTGACTCTCTGCAGCAGCTGCACTTATGTGTCATGGAATTAGCTTCAGGAGAGTATCTGTTTTTATAATGCAAAATGAAGAAAGCGTTACATTTGCTCGGGTTATGTACGATTTTAAAAATTGTGCTTTTATTTTGGACTGGGGAGGTAATATTACAGAACCTCTACCATAAGAAAAGAAAAATTTCCACTATTTATTTGCCAGGTACTTAAACTATGTCCTCCATAATATCCAGCCAAGATATGATGTCTTTTAAATATTGTAAAGGTAACAAAAAAAAACACCAAACCCAGGATTTTTTTAAAGGAGAATTTAAAAAAATCCAAATATCCCAATCTGGCTGAGGTTGGAGTAAACTAGTTGAAAGACCGAGTGACTAATAAACAAAGTTCACAGATTGAATTGTGCCTCTATCATGAATTCACTAGGTGAACAATAGCCATTTCTTCTTGAAAGTTCTAAAGATTATAAATGGATATATATGATATAAATAGTCATGCTGGTCATAAGTGTGAGAGAGACTGATCTAAAAGTTCTTCACTGATGGAAACGTTAAAGTTTGCACAGTCTAAAATAGTATTTAGTTTGGTTTCTAGTAAAGGAATTACTCGGTGGTGACTTTATTTGAACATTAAAAAGGGCTGCTATTATTATTATTATTGACAATTATTATTAACAATTATTATTATTATTATTATTATTATTATTATTATTATTATTATTATTATTATTATTATTATTATTATTATTATTAATAATAATAATTGTCCTTCTTATTCCTCCTTAATTGTGCTCTGTTTGGTTTTTATTGTCAGATTTACTTATTCTGAAGCATGCATTTGGCTTTACTTCAGAGTATCTGGAAACTGGCATTTTCACAACTCATCATAGGGAACTTTTCCATATTTCTATAAAATTCCCCACTGACAAAAATAGGCAACAAAAAAACCCAATCTCTGTTTCTTGGAGATTTAACAAAGACAATCAATTTTATGCAAACAAAGATAAAAAAAATGCAATTCCAAATTTGTATTGATTCTATTTTTACTCCTCTGTGGATATTTGAAAATGCTAAGTTGGATATAGGATTTCTGCAATGTACAAACATGGTTTACCCAGTGTCTCTCTGTATCTACAACACTAGTCTTCACTATTTGGCCTACTCCGCAAGATTATCTAATTATATTCCTACCAACTGCAACACCTTTTTAAAAAACATGTCCATGTTGAAGTGAATATACGGAAGACTAGTACTTTATGTTTTCTCTTTCCCTAGGAGCATAAGACTTTATGAAAATGTTCCTCCAAATAGCAGGTGATTCTGCTGAACAGGTGGGCTGGGTCAAGAGACTGAGGTCAAGAGAAAGGGACATTGAGAAATTCTAGCAGAAGCATCTTCTCTGAGAAGACATCTTCATCCCAAAGTCTTCTGAATCCCCCTTCAGTAAATCTTCCAAAATTTATCTTTCTTAATTTGGAAGGTCCAGTGAGAAGATGGAATCTTTAAATAGTCTGTATTATTAAATAATTAATGCAATTTATGAATAAGTATAACAATAGTAGTTATACCTTTGACAACTAAGACTTAAGACAGTTTCTCAGGATGAAAATCTCAATTTAAACATATTCAACTTAATCCATTTTTTTAATATCTAAATTTTCTTTTTTAAAATTTTCCTACAATCTATCTCCAGTTTGCTTTTCTATGGAAAACTAAATCATATTGCTTTGGCAGCAGCCGTAAAGCTTATTCCCTACAATTCACTTTTAATATTTTCAAGGTTTTCAATTGCACATAATAATTTATAAATCAGAATTTGCCTATAAAGTCTATTATAATCCATTGGCCTGTCATTCTTCCATGTGGAAACCATTCATTACCCTATTTCATTTATCCAAATCATCAGATCCCCAACTCTATCACTGCACCCTCTTTCACAGCTGGGAACAAAAAAAAAAAGATAATACAATAACTTTGAACAAAGTTAGAAATCTAGAGTTGTCTTGCACACAAGCATATCAGTGGATTTCAGCATTTTACATACAGTGAAAAAGTTCCACATCTTCCTTCACACTGAGTCACAGAGACTTGTTCCTCTGAACGGCAGCCATTGTAATTGATATAGTCCATTGTTTGAGTGGCCGAGCACGATGAGCCACCTGGCATCAATATACCTATCAAACAAAAGGTATAAAAAGACTGGCATTCAAATGCAAGCATAAGTTTCAAGCTTTTAGCTCTCCTGGATGGAGTGTTCAGCATAGTCAATAATTTCCTTTCAGAAATTTGTATCAAATACCTAGCTAAATGTAATTTGGTTGGGTGTCTGAAAGGGAAAGAATGCCCACGAAATTTATAAAACCAGATATTTTAGACAGGAAAATTAAACCATTATCAATCTTTCTGATGAAATGAATGAGTCTTTTTTGAAAGTTAAATTTTGCATAGAATTTGTCAACAGAGTGCAAATGGGGACGCTTCCATTGGTTTTAAGTTGAGCATATATAAAAAGATGTAAACAAAGAGAGAGGATTTTCCCGTGCATTATTTATTTTTATTTATTTTATTTATTAAATTTATATACCGCCCTATCTCCCTTACGGGACTCAGGGCGGTGAACAGGCGATACTAAAAACCACGATAATAAATAAATAGTTTCTGTTCTAAAATCGAATTAAATAACAGGCCTGTTCTAAAAACACACCCATACAAAACCCCCCACTGAAACATAATCAAACTACGCCAGGCCGGCCGCANTACATTGCTATCCAGTCACCAAGATCACTGAAAAAAATAGTTTGACTTCGTTAAAATAAGAAGTCATCCCATTTCCTCTGTCAGGTGTACAATCCTATAATCCAGCAGGTAGATAATAGCTTCCATTCTTCCAGGCATGTTCCTGCAGAAATAGGAACCAGGAATGTGTTCTGTTTCCTCAACATTTTCAGTGGGATTTTCATCTCTCCCATTGAAAACATCAAGGAAAATTAAGGGAGGTCCTTAATAAACCTATCAATTAAGAATGTTGTATTGCAACATTTGCAAATACCTTTCAATTTAGTTTCTTTGAAGGGATCATGTTCCTAGGTATAAAGCTCTAACCTTTATTATTTAGAGCCAAGCATTCTTTAAATCACACAAACACAACCTTCTTAACTAGGGATATTTTCATGTTTGCTAATTGTTCTTTTTAACATGGTTCATTAATCAAGCAAATATGTATAAGCTGAGCATCAATAGAATGAGCATCAGTTGTACTCTATCAAATTATTGCTTTTCTTCAATAGAAAAGTAATAATTTAATAGAGTACAAGTGGGTGAACCTATCTCAAATAAATATTGATTTATATAATTTAATTGCCCCTCAGCTTTTCTCATTATATACAGATATATAATTCCTTTAGAATGAAAGTATATGTATTTTTATAATACTTACATGTCTTACAACAGCCATTAGGCAAGTATACAAGGGTGCCCTACAAACAAAATAATAACAAAACATGTATAACCACCTACTAGAACTGCAAATTGTACTAAAATGAATGCTCTGATGTTCTGCAGTATAATACCCGCCATGCTTCCTCAGAATTATGGGATTTGTAGTTTATGATATTTCAAGGGACAGATAGGGAAAAGAACAATCTTTCCCTCTACCTTATTTCTTAGATGAAGAATATGCTAATCTCAAACATGAGCATGCTGTAGATTCCGTTACTCTGCTAGTTTTTAGAAGGAAGAATTCCACCCATAGTGGAAATACAGCCATGTGTTTATATTTGTTTATTCTGTATTGATCCTATTGGGACTACTCTGCAGCCTATCCACATTGCTCAGTTCATATCCACATTGCTCAGTTCCCTTGTTACCAGTACAGGTCATGATCCATTTCTGAAGAGCAAAAATGGATGATATATGTCTGAAATGTTCCAGAAGTCTAATAATAATAATAATAATAATAATAATAATAATAATAATAATAATAATAATAATAATAATAATAATAATAATAATAATAATAATAATAATAATAATAATAATAATAATAATAATAATAATAATAAATAGCAACAACAACAATAATAATATCCTTTTGGTATAATATTTGATTGTTAGTTAATATGTTTTTCTTCAAATTATATCTATTTCTTTCAACATCATCAGCATTGAAAAATGACTGTTTGCGCCATTGTGGCAATATGTGGGGATGACCTTGGAGACCTTCTGCCTAGGCTGTAGGTGTTCCTTCTATCTCCCAAGGTCATTCTCACATTCTATTGCATCTATTCTCACATTCTATTGCATCTTAAAAAAATATACCCAAACGTTTAATGTTTAATATCTCTTGTGAGATGGATGTGTTTCTCAAAGGAAAAGAAAGGCCTAAAACCTTTCATTACATACCTTTATACTGCAATTCTAGGAGAATTATTTCACTTTCCCTCTCATTTTTTTCCCTTTCACTGGAAATTATAGGTGCTGGATGTCTTATCTTACACACTGGGTTGAGGGGAACATACCAGGTGAGGCAGTCTTTGGAAGACAGGTAGTGACAGGAGAAGCTGCAAGCCACTCCCCTGACAAAGGACAGGCCAGGAGGTATAGATTCAGAGGGCTTCTGGGAATGAACTCTTGAAACTCTGACCTTTCACCTTATGGGATGTACTGGGATACCTCAGTGTGAATAAGACATGTTTAATAGTAATTAATTGTTGTATTTAAACGATAAACTTTTCCAGTCTGAAGCATCTTTGCTTATTTTTCAGTATTAAATGTGACAGTGTTCCAGCATCCCACATAAAATCTACTTCAGCTCTTGCTTCTACCCTATTCAATCTGAATCAAATTAATGCTTTTTCATGGTATCCTATGTGTAGATTCAACTTTTAACTCACAGGTTGGCATCTCTTCTCATCAAATGATGGGCAGGTAATCACAGACGTAGAAGAAATCAGCTGCCTATGAATCCTTGTACAGGTGTAAAGAGTACAGTTGTCTTTGGGATCATTCTGACTGTCACCAGGCTGTTTGAAAGAAGCAAACAAGTTTAAGACTAAATAGGTTCCTATTTGTTAAAAAAAAACACCTTTCTTCTCACAAAGAGCAGAATAGACATTCAATGGAGGCATCCTCTTAAAGAAAATGAACTGGCATGATAAATTCTTTCCCCACTCATACTCGATACCTGGGAAGCTGTAGAGCAGGGGTGGGCAATTAATTTTCCCAAGGCCAACATGAAAAACTGGGACTGGTGTGGAGGGCCAAACCAATAGGGCTGTGAGGTGAGGAGATAGAAGTGGAACTCCTGAAATTTGCAAACAACACCAAGCTGGCAGGAATAGCCAACAATCCAGAAGATAGGCTCAAGATACAGAAGGAGCTTGACAGATCTGAACACTGGGCCCTATCTAACAAAATGAAATTCAGTGGTAAGTAAAGTAAGGTTCTACATTTAGGTAAGAAATACCAAATGCACAGATATAGAATAGGAGGTACCTGGCTCAATAGTAATAACTGTGAGAAGGATCTTGGAGCCCTAGTGGACAATCACTTAAATATGAGCCAGCAGTGGGCTGCAGCTGTTAAAAGGCCAATGCAGTTCTACACTGCATTAACAGAGGCACAGAATCAAGTACCACTTTATAATGCTACATTTGGAATATTGCATCCAGTTTTGGTCGCCACAATAGAAAAAAGTTGTTGAGACTCTAGAACGAGTGCAGAGAAGAGACCAAGCAAGGAAGCTGCTTTGTCAGTAGCAGAAAGATGGAATACAGAGAAAATAGAGAAATTAAAAAATATGTAAAGGAATGAAGTTTTTCAACTTTTGATTTACAAGCTACATTCGTTTTATCTTATTTCCATTCTAACCTTTACTCAATTTCCCTCACCCTCATTTAATTGAGATTTGTGTGCCTCGAGTCTCCATTATTTTTCTTGCAATTTCTATCAAGACTAACCCTATTGATGCTTGTCGGCACAAATGAACAACCCACTCAGGACCTCATCCCTTCAACCTGTAATAGTGAACTAGACAAAATAAATTGGAAAAACTAGATGTGAATATGCCCAAACCCATTTCTTCTAAGTGGAAAAAATAGATATCAATATGCCCACATTCATTTCTTATTTCACTTTTGCATTCATTTTGTATTACAACAACTATAAACTGAATGGAAATGCATTAGTTTTCTTTTTCATTTGTGCTTAATCTGAATGCATATCCTCTGGAGAAATTTCACATAGACACCTAAGTATTGTGAGGATAGTGGATTAAGGAAAATCATGAGAAGGTGCTGATGCAGTGACAAATTTCCATTTTTTTTTCACTTTTTTCACATTCTATCTTGTAGCAAATGTTTTCAATGCCAAGAAAAGCATTACTACCTGAAGATAATTATGAAAAAAATAAACTTACAGTTAAGATGAGAATCTCATTTTCTATTGTTCTTATAACGCAACTTGTCTGCACGCATTTTGGACAGCAGTCACCAGGGTATCGAACAGGAGAATAGCCCTACAGAGAAAGAGATACACAACTGAGGTGATGTTCAAATAGGACTTTAAAAAAAATTAATAGAAACAAGTATCCCTACTCTAATTCCAGACAGCCATCCTTTCTTCAGTGCTCTGTTCTGAGGTAGGCAATCTGATCCTGGAGCTGTTAACTAGCTAGAATGATCCAGTTAATGCCAACTGGTTGTTCAGTTGCTCTGCTGTGCCTTCAAGACTGGCAGAAATACAGCAGGTCAAGCTACCTCCAGCCTGGAAAGCAGGTCGTGACTTATTTTCTCAACATCTTTGTCTAAGAATGCCATAAAAGGTAGAAATACAGGGCTAATCAAGGAGACAACTGGTCCTCCTTCCTGGAGGGAAATGGAATTTTCAGCAAACTTCTTGTCCATGGATACCATGTCATATGTGGTTCTTACCAGCAAGGGAACCTCTCTAATGCTTTTCTATAGGGTGTTGTAGGGTCTTTGCATTGGGCCAAAGAAGCCCAGGTAAATGCTGGGCTTGTTTTTGATGCTGTAGCCTTGGGAGTCAGCCTTGAGATTATCAGGCTAACATGAACCCCTGGTGGTTTCAACAAGATCTATAATCTTGGTTGGGGAGGGCAACCTATGAACGAGCAGCCAGCAGGATGGGTATGGAATGACATAGTATTTCTGTTCCAAGGCAGTGATAGGCAAATCCCTATTAGACACACTTTTGCTCTGCCCAGAGTTTCTATACATGTGACTGGCATTGAGATTAAAGGGATTGGGTTCCTGGCAAGGCAGCTTGAGATCTTTAGCATTGCTGGGTATGACAGGAAGTTTCTGCTAGGATGAACCCATTGCTCAGTTCTTGGGTGAAATAAGTAATAAAAAAAGCTTATTGTCCTTGAGCTGGTCTGTTCCCAAATGTATTCATTGTCACTTCAGAAGCAATAGCCCTGATTGTTAGGATAGCTCAGCCCACTATTCATCACTCCCAGCCAGCATGGCAAAATATTTTGCCTAGAATGGCCACTATGATTCCACCATTGACAAATTATTGTTAGAACCAGCTATTGTCTACTTTTGAAATCTTCCTCCTTCTCAGAATTTGGGGCCTATTAACAATGTTCAGTTCTCTTTGTTGAACTATTTTGGCTTTCTCTTCCCATCTTGGTTTTTTCCCCCCCCTTCCTTAATGATATTTAACTCTTCATAGTTGACCCAAGATACTTTTCCTGCTAGAGGCAAAGGATGAAAATCTTTCCATCCCAGTTCTATACATAAGCTGATTGTTTTGAAAAATGTAATCTTGCTTGAATAGTGGCTGCTTCATTCTATCTAATAGTGAAGCTTATCCTCAAGCTTATAAATGTTACTAATTAGGTTACAGGAAGCTGTTCTTCCACAATCCTGCTTGTCTACTTGTTTTCCCTCATATTGCTTTATCTGCTTATATAAGTGGAACTGCTTACCTCCTGGCACTTCACATTACATGGGATATCCTTACACTCTATGATATTCAGAAGAGTGGTGCTGTTTTGTCGATTTGTGCATGTGCACTCTTCACACTGACCTCCTAAGACTTCTGAACCAGGCTGGAACAAAGCAGGGAAATTCATTAATTAGCAAAGAATAAGGCAAACCAGATCTGATCCAATATATTTCTTACAAAATTACTGTAACTCTGATATGAGAAAGGCCACCAGAGATTAGAGAATTTACTGCAATTTTGGAATTTATTACATGGATTCTTAAACCTCTAACTCTTTCTTTCTATTGTTGCTATTTGTCCACTTTGCTATTCCCTTGTAATGGTATTTGAGAATGACCTTCAGGATGGGGAAAGAGATATTGTCTAGAAAATGATCAGACAAGAGAGGCAGGAGCCCTCAGTGGCTTAATTGTGGTCATAAATCAAGGACAACATGTACTTAAAAATAATACTGCACCACTGCAGCTTCTCCCAACTGGCCACCATAATAGCTCCAGCACGATCTGTTGAGGAGACTTTCCCAGTCTACGGGCCACAGACCCACACGTTTTGGTCTAATCAGAAACGAATCCTGCTGTGCTCAATGGGATCTATTCGATTATAAACATGCATAGGATTTTCTATAGTATCAATTTCAATAGAACTTATTTTTAAGTAGATATGTACTTTGTGTATTAATGAAGTATCCTAAAAGATCTAAGCACAGTAACAAAATCGGATAAGTGAGTTGGTTCTAAAAGCAGGTTAACTGACTATGTGCTGAAATCCTGGTTATCCCAGAATGCCTTGGGCCAGGGTGGATTTAGTAGGCATATTCCCGAAGGTCAGTCTTCTACAACTCTTTCCTTGGTTTTACTATTTTCCCTGACATGATGCTCACTAACTCTCAGTTATAACTCATGCTTGTTATTTACCTTTATAAATAAGCCTTCTAAAATTGCAATTCTGTTAAGAGGTGGACTATGAGATTGAGTAAAAAAAAAAAATTCCGTCTTAGGAAGAAAGGAAAACTTTACCTTATATTCATTACCATCCTTCACACACACTTTTTTAGGATCTGGAGAAAAGAATTGTTTAAAAGTCTTTGTCAGTACTTTAGGCTCTTTGCTTAAAAGTAACTGTATATTATACAGCTTGTTGATATTCATTCTCTGTTATAGAATGATAAATAAAGTAACAACACATTTTCTCCCCTTTTCTCCCCAATTATTGCATTTACAGATGCCCGCTAAAGATATTGTCATTCATTTAACTTTTTAATTTATCTAAACAACTCTGAACTGTGCAGTGCTTATGGATGGGGAATCTATGGTTATCCAAATAGTTTGTTTTAAAACCACCAGCGAACCCAATGTGGCCAGTTGTGGTGGGAGATTTGGGGAAATGTAAGTGAACCAATGTCTTCATTCCTAATTATCAGTCACTCCCATAGAATGTTCTACCGAAGTTCACATGAATGCAAGATGGGTAGGAATTATAGATCTCTATTATGTATTATTCAAATTAATGAATAGAAACAAGTATTTATAAATTTATAAATCAGGTATATTACAGATGGGCAAGAAAAAGGACAAATTTATAGATACGGAAGGAATTTAAAAAAAAATCTGTGAGCAGAATATCATGCTGTTCATTGCAAAATACCTGTAGTCAGTGGTGGGATTCAGCCAATTCGCACCATTTCAGCAGAACCGGTACCTAATTTTTTGTTGCCCAGGCCCAGAATGGACTTCAGGAAGCGACATCCACACAGAGAACCGGTTGTTCACATATTTGAAACCCACCACTGCCTGTAGTCTAAAGTTGATTTGAATCCCACCACTGCCTGTAGTCTAAAGTTGATAAGCGCTAGGTGATGAAATAAGTATTTTGTGGAAGCAATTTCCATTGATGATAACTAGACATAATTCTAATGTAACACATTTAGAATCAAAGTGTCAAGCTGAATTTACCAAAGCCTTATATTCATCCTTTCAGAGTTAATTAAAAGAGACTTACTGCATTGATAAGAAGGACAACAGTGTTCTTCAGTGTTGTTAGCAACAGCTATGAATCCTGGATCACACTGAGGAGGCTTGGTCGTACATTGAGTGGTGTTGCACTCTATGAAGAAGAAAGGAAAAATTCAACTTCCACATCGGAAAATTATCCATTTTCTTCTAAACATAATCTATTGCAGAATAAAGCAACTGTATTCTTGGAAATTCTTTAAGTTTAGAGACTCTTCTGTATATTGAAAAAAAAACTGTAATGAGAAAATCTTATTAAGTTAACTTTCTTTGTAACAATGCTTTATAAATGAGTTGGGCCACGAATGCACATCACTTGAAATACCATCATATTTTCTATACTGAGAGTGGTTTTCCAAAGATTCTAGCCTGGCTGCCTGAGAGAGATGACATTAAGAAATAAATGTATAGAATTGTGTAGGTCACACAGTATCACTATCATTGACATATGGTATCCATATGGACATACTCACCACACACAGTGTCTGAACAGCATTTGTCATTAGGATTAATTTTGGTGATCTTCTGATATCCTTCCCCTTCACACTGTACTTCATCAACTGGTATTGGACACTTGTAGGGTTCACAGATAATGCCACTTCCACCTTCCATGCAAGTACAGTCTTTGCAGTCAAACTGAAAGTTCTCCCCAAACTATCAATGGGAAAGAGTAACTGCTTAATAGCATAAGAACCTACAGAATATTAAACAGAATGAATCTGATCCCACCCACATGCATCGTTGAAGGACTATCATAAATGTTACAGGAATTTCTAGGAGTTAACAGAAGGGATTACTCAACTCATTGGGTAGGGGCATTGGCAGATAAAAAACTAAAAATGGCAACTCCATTCACATAATACTGAAGCTCAGATTCATTTTATATGCAATGCGCATAAAAAGGGGTGGAGCTTTAATATTATTTATTTATTATATTTATATGCCACCCATCTCACTACCCAAGGTGACTTTGAGCAACATACAAATTGCATACAATTGCAACCACCATCCTGAGTTGAGTAATCTAATAATCTCATCTGTTGACTCACTGAAATTCCTGTAATATTTATGATAAACCTTAATATATTGTCATAGCTGTCATCATTAATAGAATTTTTTTATTGTTTCAAAGTCTTGCCACTCATATAATGCTGGTGACTTTCATATTAGACAGTGACTTTCTGCTAAGCAAAGGTCTGTGCACCCTTGATTAAGCTACTCTCCCCATATTCTTCATTACCTAGCTTTATTAGCATGGATAAGTTCTGCACATAGATGAAAGTAAAATATAAAATCAAGCTGATAGGAAAAAAAGATCAGAATTCTATCATAAAGCAAACCTATTCCAGAAAATATATAGTTGATTGTCAGACTCACACAAAAGTAACAGACATGTTGTTTACCTTTCTGGGAATATCGTCTGGTCCAACACATCCTAAAAACAAAAGTATCTCCATTAATGTTAAGATAATTTCCATTATTTATATTTTATTATTGAGAACAGTAAAAATGTAATTTTATGCATGCCAGCTGAGAAGTAAACTCCACTGAGTTCAATGAGATTTACTCCCAGATGCAAGCATACATTGGACCACATCCTAAGTATGTTTGAGAAAAAGCAGAGTCAGAAAACCAAACTTACCACAGATTTCCACGCATACATCTATAGCAGTGTCATAAAGTTTGGTTCCTTCAGGACAGAAACACCCTTCCATTTGTCGTGTCTGGTTTTGTTCTATTAATCTACAATAAAAGATGAGGGTTTTTTTTTAAAAAATCAACAATTGTTCACATATCTGGCAAATGCTTGCAGCTTTAATTAAAGGCATTTGAGGACAGACAGGAAGATAAGCAGTTGTGTTGCTTCGCAGAATCATATAACAACTCAGAGTGCAGGAAGGAATTTGTTTCTTCATTCACTATATCAGGAGTAGTCAACCTTGGCTCTTTTATGACTGGTGGACTTCAGCTCCCAGAATTCCTGAACCAGCTATGCTGGCTCAGGAATTCTGGGAGTTGAAGTCCACAAGTCATAAAAGAGCCAAGGTTGACTACCCCTGCACTATATATACTAAACGACTGTCCCAACAAATGCATAAATTGCATGTTATGTGTTCATAGCTTATACATTTCAGCTTTCTAAGCCAAATCCAGAGTTTTAAGAGTTTTCATTTACTAGTTATTTATCACATTTATATGGCTGCCCATCTCATTCAAAAACTGAATTCTGGATTTCTTCTAAAAGGATAGGAACCCTATCCTTCTTAAACACAGGCATGTTATATTAAACAACAACACTGCAAAAATAATCACATTTAAATAATTCTGAATCTGGAATGTCAGAAAATGGATTACCCTGATTTGCAAGTTTCTTCTATAGTAGGACCACATGCTTTGTACACTTTATGGGGTCGGCAGATAACGGCTGGAAAAATAAAAACAAGGGATGAAGATGAAGATGATACAACGGATGAATGATAACACCCTCCAAAATAAAGTTTGGCAAAGCTTACATTTTACATTATTTTTTTACATTATTTGGGACTGCCTTTGGATACCACATTTGGGGGAAAATATAACTCTTATGCTCATGCATTGAATAACAACTCAAGATTCATTCATGAGCTAGGAGATAAGATTAAGGTAATGCCTTAAGAAGGAAGGTACACTCTGTTAGGTGCAATGGGGCCATGATGAAGCACAAATAGGCACAAACCCTTAGAAGCAGGAAAAAGGGGAAGGTGGTAGAAAGAGATTAATTGGTATATTCTTCAACCTTCCTGGACCTCTTCTGACCCCTCTCTCTTTTTTATATTCCTTTTTTTATTAAAAGTTTTAAAGAGAACATAAAAACTAACATACATTGATACAGAATAAAGAGAATGAAGAAAGAGAGAAAGAAAGAAAAATGAAGAGAAAGGGATACAAAGAAATAGAAAGAAGCTTCTGATTTCATTTGCAAGTATGATTACAAAGTTATCTTCTACTCTGTGATTACAGAAAAAGCTCACTATTTTCTAATAAAGGAGAATATTTGTAGCTCAGGTTTGACATGAGGGGTCCTTGGTGCTCGCTGAGCTTGCTTGTTTTCTTGCAGACATTCCATTATCCAAACTAGGCAACATCATCAATGCTTTGACTGGAACTGATGATATTGCCTAGTTTCTGTAATGAAACATCTGCAAGAAAACAGGCAAGCTCAGAGACCACTAAAGACTCCTCACTTTTTTCTATTATCCTTTTTTTTTTTTTTTTGCACCTCGTCTTCTCTTGATGGGATGAGCATTTCACATTGGACACCATCTCTGGGTTAATGAAGTGATCTAATTTATCCTGCATAGGCTATCCACGTTAGGAGAATGAGTAACTGAGCATATTGGGAAAAACCCAAGAGATGCTACCCAAAAAGAGAGAGAGAGAGAAATGGAGGGTGACCTGTCCCCATTCTCCACATCCCACATTTTCATTCATCTGCTATTTCTTCACTGTTAACATGCACCTTCCAAATATTGATACACCTTCTACACCTCTCTTGTCCCCAGAGCACATTCATTGACAGATTTACCATGTTTTAAGAAAAAAAAGAATAGTTTCCATCAATAGAAAATTGAATCGCCTAAATAAAGTAACGTGTTTCAAGTTAATGTACACACTTTCACTGATGCTCTCCCACTGAAGTGGGGGAGGTTGTTTGGAAAGGCATGTCCTGTAGTTCTTTATTCAGTTTCAGACAAATTTTAGAAATGGAGACTTACGACATGCTCCCTTGGTTTGTCCTCTCCAGTCAATGCAAACCCCCTGATCTGCACAGGTTGCTGCATAAATTTGAAGACTTGCACATTCCATTAATTCGTTGGGCATTCGGCAGCTATCAAACACGCAGGCCTCATAGTAGCTTGTAAAATTAACGACGGCATGACACTCCTGAAATGTACTGAATAAATATATACATATAATAAGTATAAGGTCATTGATGGTAAAGGAGCATTTCTTCAAGGAAAATGTTCATCCACCAGATACTTTACCTAAAGCGAGTGAACATTCTTCTAAGCTACCAGAGAAAGCAATATAAGCTTTTGTGGCTAGATTTAAAAACTACCCAGTTAGAGTTGTAAAATTCTGGGCAACGTAGAATGTAGCAAAGCGTTATAATTTTTTTTATCACCTGCTGCCATTTAATAATGGCCTAAACTTTTGCAGCTGAGATTTGGTAGTCATAATTAATTAGTCTTAAAAAATCAAACACTTCCCAAATGAATCTCTACTGATACCCATAACAGGTCAGTTGACCATTATATGGCTGACAAAAAGCGCTAGATATTCCACTCCATGACACTATGATAGGATGGTATCAACTTAAAGGGGAAAATATTGTTTTTATTTCAGGACAGATGATGACAAGAGCATTTCATGAATGAGTTGAGATTGTGATGAGGGCAATGTTACCAGATCAAGCTAGAAAGTTTTGAATGGGGTCCAAAATATGTTGTGAAAAAGTGCAAGTGGTACAAATTCATACAAGCAATGGTCCAAGAATGACATATATAGGCACACTATCAATTGGTTAAATAAAATTACTCAGTAGAGCAGGCTACTGGAGAAAAATCAAATCGTAAGCATATGGCATGATTTAAAAACAGGGAAAAAAAACAAATGTGAAAGTAATGTACAGACTATTTACCTTCCTTTTAGAAGCTCACACAACTGAGATGGTTTGCAGGGAGCAGGAGTTGGAAGTTTCTCAGGTGGGGTCATATGTTCACAATGTGGTTTTTCTGGATCATAAATAACCCAGTCATCTGCCATTATTTCACAAGAAGGTATAACAGTCCCATTCCGTAACATACAGTCATCTTGGATATTGTTGTTGCATTTTCCTAAATTGGAGTGGCAAAGGAACCACACAAAAAATTCATACTTATATTTCCATCATATTGTTTGATGAAAAATAATTTGCTATCTAAATTTGTAATAACAGTAATAGGCAGCAGTTGGCAATAACCTTAACACTGCCAGTAGCAATACTGAAAATAAAGAGAAGGGAAAAACAGACAAAGTCACACAGCTGATAACAAAAGCTTTTGTACATTCTATATACGTGCTTGCTTTTTATATCATATGTCAAAAATCCTCACTGTTGGAAAAAATCACTGACATGCAAAATTATGATTACATAATTTATATGTTAGAATTGATTATTTGGATATTGTGTTACAATATCTACCTTGTATGTTCCAGATAGTTTTGCAATCATCTACTTTACAATGTTCATTTTACAGACATAAGTATAGTCATTCTTACCACATTGTCCCTGGGTATTGTTGGCAAACGTTGCATAGGGCATCCTGATTGTGAAGGCCATGCCATTGTATGTTACAGTTATATTCAATCTAACTAGTTTCACCACGTAGTTTATACCAGACTTGTAAACCTTCAGGGTATATTTTTCATAAGGTAAACCCACTTGCACATGATTCACAGTCACCTAATATTCAAGAAGTCAGAAAGAATATAATTAAATAGGAACCATGGTTAAAATGAAATAATTTCTCCGCTGCCCCCACATATCTTTTTATTATGATAGACCTAAGAAGATTTTATATACAGGCAAGCAGGCAGGCAGGCAGGCAGAGTGACTCCGAAAGATCCTCAAAACATGGTTTTGTCAACTAGCCTGGGATCCCATAATAGAACTGAGCCTATTAGTTACATGATGGTTGAGTGCACAAAATAAAATGTTCTTGAAACATCTGTTGTCTAAAGCCGTCATTCCAACAATGTTACCGAATTGATGTCACAGTCTTAAGTAAACTTGACATAAATCTTAGGAGGTACAGGGAGATCTGGTTGATGCAAAATATGAATTCAACTGTAAGCAAGAAATTTCCCAGCTTGAATCCATAAAATGGGAGAAACCTGACCATATAAAAATTCACTCTTTCTGGGGCAGATGGGCAGGCTATCAGGTCAAATTAGGATTTTCTTCAGCAGAAATTGAAAAGAAAAAAAAAAAGCTCAATGTGCTTTTTAAAACTGAATGATAGAGTTAGAAAAAAATGTTTATTTGCTTTGCCTGAAACAGCTATAAAATTCTCAACATTGAGTGAATTGTTGGAATGAGTTGGCACCAGTGGTGGGATTCAGCCAGTTCGCACCATTTCGGCAGAACCAGTAGCTAATTTTTTGTTGCCCAGGCCCAGAATAGACTTCCAGAAGTGTCATCTACACAGATTCACATATTTGAATCTCACCACTGGTTGGCACTAAACGTGTATTAAGGTATGAACCGTGACTGGTTTGTACCTGTGATTACTAAGGTCATGCTTTCTTTTAAGAAGCTAAAGTTGGGGCAGAAGAAAAGTATTTTAAAAAGGCAAAAACAATGATGCTTTGAAATGGGAAGCCTGCTTTATTCCATTAAAGAATAAGGAGGTGCTGTAGATTTGATTATTGTTAGGCCACAACTTAAAACTGGTTTCTTTCTGGAAATAATGAAATCATAATAACAGCAAGAGTAGTAGTTTTTATTTTTAAGGTGGCTATAAATAAACACAGTACAAAACAATAAAATACTACATCAGAATTAAAATAGCTCACACAATCTAATTTAAGATCATAACTGAAGTACAATAGCCTCAGTAACCTGAATAGAACACATGCATTGACAAAGGCCCATCAAAATAAAAGGTTTTGGCAACATTTCTAATTTTGA